AGTGGAGGAGAATGTCAGCAACTGCTCATGGGGGAGGGCCATGTTGGTGGGAGAGAATGTCAGTAATTTGTCATGGGGGAAGGGCCCATGTTGGTGGGAGAGAATGTCAGTAACTGGTCATGGGGGAAGGGCCCATGTTGGTGGGAGAGAATGTCAGTAACTTGTCATGGGGGAGGGGCCCATGTTGGTGGGAGAGAATGTCAGTAACTTGTCATGGAGGAGGGGCCATGATGGTGGGAGAGTATGTCAGCAACTGGTCATGGGGGAGAGGCCATGTTGATGGAAGAGAATGTCAGTAACTCGTGATGGGTGAGGGCCATGTTGGTGGAGGAGAATGTCAGCAAATGGGCATGGGGGAGGGCCATGTTGGTGGGAGAGAATTTCAGTAACTCTACGTGGAGGAGGTCTATGTTGGAGGGAGTGAATGTCAGTAACTGGTCATGGGGGAGGGCCATGTTGGTGGGAGAGAAAGTCAGTAACTGGTCATGGGGGAGGGCCATGTTGGTGGGAGAGAATGTCAGTAACTGGTCATGGGGGAGGGGCCATGTTGGTGGGAGAGTATGTCAGCAACTGAACTTGTGGGAGGGGCCATGTTGGTGGGAGAGAATGTCAGTAACTGGTCATGGGGGAGTGGCCATGTTGGTGGGGGAGAATATCAGTAACTGGTCGTGGGAGAGTGGCCATGTTGGTGGGTGAGAATGTCAGCATCTGGTCTTGGGCGAGGGCTATGTTGGTGGGACAGAATGTCAGCAACTGGTCATGGGGGGAGGGCCATGTTGGTGCGAGAGAATAACAGTAACTAGTCATGGGGGAGGGGACCATGCTGGTGGGAGAGAATGTCAGCAACTGGTCATGGGGGAGGGCCATGTTGGTGCGAGAGAATAACAGTAACTGGTCATGGGGGAGGGCCATGTTGGTGGGAGAGAATGTCAGCAACTGGTCTTGGGCGAGGGCCATGTTGGTGGAGGAGAATGTCAGTAACTGGTCATGGGGGAGGGCCATGTTGGTGGGAGTGAATGTCAGTAACTGGTCATGAGGGAGGGGCCATTTTGGTGGGAGAGAATGTTAGTAACTGGTCATGGAGTAGTGGCCCATGTTGGTGGGAGAGAATGTCAGCAACTGGTCAATGGGGGAGGGGCCATGTTGGTGGGAGAGAATGTCAGCAACTGGTCATTGGGGAGGGCCATGTTGGTGGAAGAGTATGTCAGCAACTGGTCATGGGGGAGGGGCCATGTTGGTGGAGGAGAATGTCAGCAACTGGTCATGGGCGAGGGCCATGTTGGTGGAGGAGAATGTCAGCAACTGGTCATGGGCGAGGGCCATGTTGGTGGAGGAGAATGTCAGCAACTGGTCATGGGGGAGGGCCATGTTGGTGGAGGAGAATGTCAGCAACTGGTCATTGAGGAGGGGCCATGTTGGTGGGAGAGAATGTCAGCAACTGGTCTTGGGCGAGGGCCATGTTGGTGGGAGAGAATGTCAGTAACTGGTCATGGTGGAGTGGCCATGTTGGTGGGGGAGAATATCAGTAACTGGTCATGGGGGAGTGGCTATGTCTGTGGGGGAGAATGTCAGCAACTGGTCTTGGGCGAGGGCTATGTTGGTGGGAGAGAATGTCAGCAACTGGTCATGGGGGGAGGGCCATGTTGGTGCGAGAGATTAACAGTAACTGGTCATGGGGGAGGGGACCATGCTGGTGGGAGAGAATGTCAGCAACTGGTCATGGGGGAGGGCCATGTTGGTGCGAGAGAATAACAGTAACTGGTCATGGGGGAGGGCCATGTTGGTGGGAGAGAATGTCAGCAACTGGTCTTGGGCGAGGGCCATGTTGGTGGAGGAGAATGTCAGTAACTGGTCATGGGGGAGGGCCATGTTGGTGGGAGAGAATGTCAGTAACTGGTCTTGGGGGAGGGCCATGTTGGTGGGAAAGAATGTCAGCAACTGGTCATTAGGGAGGGGCCATGTTGGTGGGAGAGAATGTCAGCAACTGGTCATGGAGGAGGGGCCATGTTGGTGGGAGAGAATGTCAGCTACTGGTCATGGGGGAGGGGCCATGTTGGTGGGAGAGTATGTCAGCAACTGGTCATGGGCGAGGGGCCATGTTGGTGGAGGAGAATGTCAGCAACTGGTCATGGGGGAGGGCCATGTTGATTGGAGAGAATGTCAGCAACTGGTCATGGGGGAGGGCTATGTTGGTTGGAAAGAATGTCAGAAACTGGTCACGGGGGAGGGGCCCATGTTGGTGGGAGAGAATGTCAGTAACTGGTCATGGGGGAGGGCCATGTTGGTGGAGGAGAATGTCAGCAACTGGTCATGGGGCAGGGGCCATGTTGGTGGAGGAGAATGTCAGCAACTGGTCATGGGCGAGGGCCATGTTGGTGGGAGAGAATGTCAGCAACTGGTCATGGGGGAGGGGCCATGTTGGTGGGAGAGAACGTCAGCTACTGGTCATGGGGGAGGGGCCATGTTGGTGTGAGAGTATGTCAGCAACTGATCATGGAGGAGGGGCCATGTTGATGGGAGAGAATGTCATCAACTGGTCATGGAGCAGTGGCCCATGTTGGTGGGAGAGAATATCAGTAACTGATCATGGAGGAGGGGCCATGTTGGTGGGAGAGAACGTCAGCTACTGGTCATGGGGGAGGGGCCATTTTGGTGGGAGAGTATGTCAGCAACTGGTCATGGGGGAGGGACCATGTTGGTGGAGGAGAATGTACGCATCTGGTCATGGGCGAGGGCCATGTTGGTGGGAGAGAATATCAGCAACTGGTCATGGGGGAGGGCCATGTTGGTGGGAGAGAATGTCAGCAACTGGTCAAGGAGGAGGGGCCATGTTGGTGGGAGAGAATGTCATTAACTGGTCATGGGGGAGAGGCCATGTTGGTGGAAGAGAATGTCAGTAACTGGTCATGGGGGAGGGCCATGTTGGTGGGACAGAATGTCAGCAACTGGTCATTGGGGAGGGGCCATGTTGGTGGGAGAGTATGTCAGCAACTGGTCATGGGCGAGGGCCATGTTGGTGGAAGAGAATGTCAGCAACTGGTCATGGGGGAGGGCCATGTTTGTGGGAGAGAATGTCAGCAACTGGTCATGGGGGAAGGCCATGTTGGTGGAGGAGAATGTCAGCAACTGGTCATGGGGGAGGGGCCGTGTTGGTGGAGGAGAATGTCAGCAACTGGTCATGGGAGAGGTTATCTTGAGATCTTGAGGTTATCTTGAGATGATTTCGGGGCTTTAGTGTCCCCGCGGCCCGGTCCTCGACCAGGCCTCCACCCCCAGGAAGCAGCCCGTGACAGCTGACTAACTCCCAGGTACCTATTTACTGCTAGGTAACAGGGGCATTCAGGGTGAAAGAAACTTTGCCCATTTGTTTCTGCCTCGTGCGGGAATCGAACCCGCGCCACAGATTTTCGAATCCTGCGTGTTATCCACCAGGCTACGAGGCCCCCTGTTAGTGCAGGGCCATGTTAGTGGAGGAGAATGCCAGCAACTGCTCATGGGGGAGGGCCATGTTGATGGGAGAGAATGTCAGTAACTGGTCATGGGGGAGGGGCCATGTTGATGGGAGAGAATGTCAGCAACTGGTCAAGGAGGAGGGGCCATGTTGGTGGGAGAGAATGTCAGCAACTGGTCATAGGCGATTAGCCCATGTTGTTGGAGGAGAATGTCAGCAAATGGTCATGGGCGAGGGCCATGTTGGTGGAGGAGAATGTCAGCAACTGGTCATATAGTAGGGCCATGTTGGTGGGAGAGAATGTCAGTAACTGGTCATAGGGGAGGGCCATGTTGGTGGAGGAGAATGTCAGTAACTGGTCATGGGGGAGGGCCATGTTGGTGGAGGAGAATGTCAGCAACTGGTCATATAGTAAGGCCATGTTAGTGGGAGAGAATGTCAGCAACTGGTCATGGGAGAGGGCCATGTTGGTGGAGGAGAATGTCAGTAACTGGTCATGGGGGAGGGCCATGTTGGTGGAGGAGAATGTCAGCAAATGGTCATGGGGGAGGTCCATGTTGGTGGGAGAGAATGTCAGCAACTGGTCATGGGGGAGGGCCATGTTGGTGGGAGAGAATATCAGTAACTGGTCATGGGGGAGGGACCATGTTGGTGGGAGAGAATGTCAGCAACTGGTCATGGGGGAGGGCCATGTTGGTGCGAGAGAATGTCAGCAACTGTTCATGAGGGAGGGGCCATGTTGGTGGGAGAGAATGTCAGTAACTGGTCATGAGGGAGGGGCCATGTTGGTGGAGGAGAATCTCAGCAACTGGTCATGGGGGAGGGGCCCATGTTGGCGGAGGAGAATCTCAGCCACTGGTCATGGGGGAGGGCCATGTTGGTGGGAGAGAATGTCAGCAACTGATCATGGGGGAGGGCCCATGTTGGTGGGAGAGACTATCAGTAACTGGTCATTGGGGAGGGCCTATGTTGGTGGGAGAGACTATCAGCAACTGGTCATGGGGGAGGGCCGATGTTGGTGGGAGAGAATGTCAGCAACTGTTTATGGGGGGAGGACCCATGTTGGTGGGAGAGACTATCAGTAACTGGTCATGGGGAAGGCCCATGTTGGTGGGAGAGTCTATCAGCAACTGGTCATGGGGGAGGGCCCATGATGGTGGGAGAGACTATCAGTAACTGGTCATGGGGGAGGAGCCCATGTTGGTGGGAGAGACTATCAGTAACTGGTCATGGGGGAGGGCCCATGATGGTGGGAGAGACTATCAGTAACTGGTCATGGGGGAGGAGCCCATGTTGGTGGGAGAGACTATCAGTAACTGGTCATGGGGAAGGGGCCATATTGGTGGGAGAGACTATCAGCAACTGGTCATGGGGGAGGGCCACGTTGGTGGGAGAGAATGTCAGAAACTGGTCATGGGGGAGGGCCCATGTTGGTGGGAGAGACTATCAGCAACTGGTCATGGGGGAGGGCCCATGTTGGTGGGAGAGACTATCAGCAACTGGTCATGGGGGTTAGTACCTTGCACCATAAACATAACTAACAACTTACTCATGTTCATCCCCTGCGGCGGTTTCTTCGGCACGTACAGCTTACCCGCTCTCACCATCTATAGAGGTACACAGTGTGTGTCAAACCTTCTGGTGCACTCTTTGTGTGTTTCTGTGTGTGTACTCACGTAGTTGTACTCACCAAGTTGTGCTTGCGGTGGTTGAGCTCTAGCTCCTTGGTCCCCCCTCTCAACCGTCAATCAACAAGTGTACAGATTCCTGAGCCTATTGGGCTCTATCATATCTATTCTTGAAACTGTGTATGGAGTCAGCCTCCACCACATCACCTACTAATGCATTCCAGTTTGTCAACCACTCTGACACTAAAAATGGTCTTTCTAATATCTCTGTGGCTCATTTGGGCGCTCTGTTTCCACCTGTGTCCCCTAGTGCGTGTGCACCTTATGTTAAATAGCCTGTCTTTATCTACCCTATCAATTCCCTTGAGAATCTTGAATGTGGTGATCATGTCCCCCTAACTCTTCTGTCTTCCAGCGAAGTGAGGTTTAATTCCCGTAGTCTCTCCTCGTAGCTCATACCTCTCAGCTCGGGTACTAGTCTGGTGGCAAACCTTTGAACCTTTTCCAGTTTAGTCTTATCCTTGACTAGATATGGACTCCATGCTGGGGGCTGCATACTCCAGGATTGGCCTTACATATGTGGTATACAAAATTCTGAATGATTCTTTACACAAGTTTCTGAATGCCATTCGTATGTTGGCCAGCCTGGCATATGCCGCTGATGTTTTCTCTTGATATGGGCTGCAGGAGACAGATCTGGCGTGATATCAACTCCCAAGTCTTTTTCTTTCTCTGACTTCTGAAGAATTTCCTCTCACAGATGATACCTTGTATTTGGCCTCCTGCTCCCTACACCTATCTTCGTTATATTACATTTGGTTGTGTTAAACTCTAACAACCATTTGTTCGACCATTCCTTCAGTTTGTCTAGGTCTTCTTGAAGCATCAAACAGTCGTCTTCTGTCTTAATCCTTCTCATAATTTTGGCATCGTCCGCAAACATTGAGAGAAATGAATCTATACCCTCCGGGAGATCATTTACATATATCAGAAACAAGATAGGACCGAGTACAGAGACCTGTGGGACTCCACTGGAGACTTCATGCCAATCGGAGGTCTCACTCCTCACCGTAACTCTCTGCTTCCTATTGCTTAGGTACTCCCTTATCCACTGGAGCACCTTACCAGCTACACCTGCCTGTCTCTCCAGCTTATGTACCAGCCTCTTATGCGGTACTGTGTCAAAGGCTTTCCGACAATCCAAGAAAATGCAGTCCGCCCAGCCCTCTCTTTCTTGTTTAATCTGTGTCACCTGGTCGTAGAATTCTATTAAGCCAGTCAGGCAAGATTTACCCTCCCTGAACCCATGTTGGCGATTTGTCACGAAGTCCCTTCTCTCTAGATGTGCTACCAGGTTTTTTCTCACAATCTTCTCCATCACCTTGCATGGTATACAAGTCAAGGACATTGGCCTGTAGTTCAGTGCCTCTTGCCTGTCGCCCTTTTTGTATATTGGGACCACATTCGCCGTCTTCAATATTTCTGGTAGGTCTCCCGTTTCCAGTGACCTACTATACACTATGGAGAGTGGCAAGCAAAGTGCCTCTGCACACTCTTTCAGTACCCATGGCGAAATCCCGTCTGGACCAACAGCCTTTCTAACATCCAGATCCAGCAGGTGTCTCTTGACCTCCTCTCTCGTAATTTCGAACTCTTCCAAGGCCGCCTGGTTTACTTCCCTTTCTCCTAGCACAGTGACCTCACCTTGTTCTGTTGTGAAGACCTCTTGGAACCTCTTGTTGAGTTCATCATACACCTCTTTGTCATTCTCTGTATACCTGTCCTCGCCTGTTCGAAGTTTCAATACCTGTTCTTTCACTGTGGTTTTCCTTCTGATGTGACTGTGGAGTAGCTTTGGTTCGGTCTTGGCTTTGTTTGCTATATCATTTTCATAACTTTTCTCTGCTTCTCTTCTCACCCTGACATACTCATTCCTGGTTCTCTGGTATCTCTCTCTGCTTTCTGGTGTTCTGTTATTCCGGAAGTTCCTCCACGCCCTTTAGTTCAGTTTCTTTGCTTCCATACATGCCCTATTATACCATGGATTCTTCTTTTGCTTCTCGGATATTTCCTTTTGGGCCAGGATTTATCTGCTTACTGCCTCCTGACACTTTTGGGTGACATAGTCCATCATATCTTGTACAGACTTAGCTCTGAGGTCTGTGTCCCAAGGTATTTCCCTTAGGAAACTGCTTATCTCCTCATAATTTCCCTTTCGGTATGCTAGCCTTTTGTTTCCTAGTTCTTTTTCGGGGGGGGGGATAATTCCTAGCTCTACCAGGTACTCAAAGTTCAATACACTGTGATCACTCATTCCCAAGGGTGCTTCCATCTTGACTTCCCTTATATCCCACTCATTTAGGGTAAATATCAGATCAAGCATTGCTGGTTCATCCTCTCCTCTCATTCTTGTTGGATCCTTGATGTGCTGGCTTAGAAAGTTTCTTGTTGCCACGTCCAACAGCTTAGCTCTCCATGTTTCTGGTCCTCCATGCGGGTCTCTGTTCTCCCAATGTATCTTCCCATGGTTGAAGTCTCCCACGATTAGTAGTCCAGATCCATTCCTGCTAGCAACAGAAGCTGCTCTCTCTATTATGTTAATGGTGGCCATATTGTTTCTATCATATTCCTGTCTGGGTCTTCTGTCATTTGGTGGTGGATTATATATGACTACGACTATAATTTTTTGCCCTCCAGTGGTTATTGTTCCTATTATGTAGTCACTGAAACCTTCACATCCCTGAACAACCAACTCCTCAAAATCCCAGCCTTTTCTTACCAGCAGGGCTACACCACCACCACCTCTTCCTTCTCTCTCTGTCCTCATAACATAATAGTCCTGTGGGAACACTGCATTTGTTATTGTTTTCGTCAGCTTTGTTTCTGTGAGTGCTATTATGTCTGGGTTTTCCTCTAGTACCCATTCTCCAAGTTCATTTGCTTTATTTGTAATTCCATCTATGTTAGTGTACATTGCTTTGAGGCTCACTTTCTTCTGTCCCTTCTCAAATCTCCTCCTTGATGAGTGTTCTGCTGGTGGAGGAAGCTGTGCCATGGGTGTGAGGATTTGTGAGGTGGATACCAGGGTTGCAGAGGATACTGGGATGAGGGGTGGGGGGTCAAGTGAAGAGGGTGGGGGGTGGGGTGTGTGTGTGTGTGTGTGTGTGTGTGTGTGTGTGTGTGTGTGTGTGTGTGTGTGTGTGTGTGTGTGTGTGTGTGTGTGTGTGTGTGTGTGTACTCACCTATTTGTACTTGCGGGGGTTGAGCTCTGGCTCTTTGGTCCCGCCTCTCAACCGTCAATCAACAGGTGTACAGGTTCCTGAGCCTATTGGGCTCTATCATATCTACACTTGAAACTGTGTATGGAGTCAGCCTCCACCACATCTCTTCCTAATGCATTCTATTTGTCAACCACTCTGACACTAAAAAAGTTCTTTCTAATATCTCTGTGGCTCATTTGGGCACTCAGTTTCCACCTGTGTCCTCTAGTGTGTGTGCCCTTTGTGTTAAATAGCTGTCTTTATCTACCTTATCAATTCCCTTGAGAATCTTCAATGTAGTGATCATGTCCCCCTAACTCTTCTGTCTTCCAGCGAAGTGAGGTTTAATTCCCGTAGTCTCTTCTCGTAGCTCATACCTCTCAGCTCGGGTACTAGTCTGGTGGCAAACCTTTGAATCTTTTCCAGTTTAGTCTTATTCTTGACTAGATATGGATTCCATGCTGGGGCTGCATGCTTCAGGATTGGCCTAACATATGTGGTATACAAAGTTCTGAATGATTCCTTACACAAGTTTCTAAATGCTGTTCTTATGTTGGCCAGCCTGGCATATGCCGCTGATGTTATCCTCTTGATATGGGCTGCAGGAGACAGGTCTAGCGTGATATCAACTCCCAAGTCTTTTTCTCTCTCCAACTCTTAAAGAATTTCATCTCCCAGTTGATACCTTGTATCTGGCCTCCTGCTCTCTACGCCTATTTTCATTACATTACATTTGCTTGGGTTAAACTCTAACAACAATTTGTCCGACCATTCCTTCAATTTATCTGGGTCTTCTTAAAGCCTTAAGCAGTCCAACTCTATCCTAATCATTCTCATAATTTTGACATCGTCCGCAAACATTAAGAGAAATGAGAGTCTACCCTCCAGGAGATCAATTCCTTTAAGAATCTTGTATGTGGTGATCATGTCCACCCAAACTCTTCTGTCTTCCAGCGACGTGAGGTTTAATTCCCGTAGTCTCTCTTCGTAGCTCATACCCTTCAGTTACACGGTACCCTGAGGGGTACATACCTTTCAGTTCCCCTGTGTGTATGTGTGTGTGTATGTATTCGTGTTTATTGATGAATGGTGAAAATGAGTAGATATGGTATATGGGAGAATATTGAGGAAATGCGGTGGGATTGAACTGCCATGTCTGGACTACCCAAGACCCACACACTAACTACCGTGGGTACTATGGTGTAGATTCCTTCACGGTGGCAGAATAGACTAGCGAAGCCCGCTACACACTCCGTGTAATGCTAGTATTGGTGGCCCGTTACACACACACACACGACACACACTGTGTAATGCTAGTATTGGTGGCCCGCTACACACACACACGACACACACTGTGTAATGCTAGTATTGGTGGCCCGCTACACACACACGACACACTCTGTGTAATGCTAGTATTGGTGGCCCGCTACACACACACACGACACACACTGTGTAATGCTAGTATTGGTGGCCCGCTACACACACACGACACACTCTGTGTAATGCTAGTATTGGTGGCCCGCTACACACACACGACACACACTGTGTAATGCTAGTATTGGTGGCCCGCTACACACACACGACACACTCTGTGTAATGCTAGTATTAGTGGCCCGCTACACGCACACACACGACACACACTGTGTAATGCTAGTATTGGTGGCCCGCTACACACACACACACGAAAAACTCTGTGTAATGCTAGTATTGGTGGCCCGC